GATTTTATATTTTTTCTGGAGGCCGGCCGTTATTTAAATCATTAAAAAAAAAAAGAGAAAAAATTTACAGACTTTCTTTTTATTATTATTATAATATTTAATCAACATAAAGTGTTAATACAATCACAGAGACCTTTTTATTATTATTACAAGATTACGTACAGTGCGAACATAATCACAGACTTTCTTATTACTTTCCACATAATTTAAATATCCAATTAATAAATATCCCACGCAAGCGAAAAATTGAAGATTTTTCCCGTCTGCTGGAGAACTAGAGAACTGGAGATTGATCTCAAAAACTGGAGTCTCCTGGCAATCATGTAACACAAATTGTTCAAAATATTCGTTTTTTACAGCAATGCACGCATTGCATCTTGTATGCGGACAATTTAATTGTGTTGCAATTAAACACTGATCTGATTAACGTATAACAATGGGCGAATTCAAGACGGTACAGCGGCATGCTTACCGAGCGATTGAATATGATTGGTTGGATCTATAAGTAACAACCAATTATGCTTATTTGCTTGGCATGCAGGTCACAATCGCTTTGTCAATTTGAACGCCCAATGACTCGTCGATTCGGCATTCTTGTGTTTGGAAATTGGCGAGCAATACTCTCGTACTGTCTCTGAAGCATTATCACTGAAATTGTATACGAAAACAATAATATTCCCCTTTAAAAATAATATACGAGAACGAAAATTACGTTTTGTCTTTATTGCGTATTTTAAAACGAAGCAAAAACGAACATATCTCTAAAGGCCTTTTTTTCGTAGTTTATCGATTCCCGAAAGGCCATTTAAATTCGGGACACCCTGTATATTTTATCTATATTCAATACTCAATGCAATATGCCGTTGCTAATATTCGATGGATATTACGATGGATGTTCTTTTAATTTTCCGAGCGCAATGTTTTATATGCAAATATTACGCGAATATATGAAATATAAATAAGCAATTCTGGACCAATTGCAATAAATATGTAATAATTCATATAGCGGTGTTATCTACGTTAAAATAAAAAGCAGCTATTGAATTTTAACATGATAATAGTAATATGTATATCACATATGTTATTATTAAAATGTGGAAATATACAATATATTATTACCTATGATATAAAATAAAAGCTTTGATAAAACGAGTTTTGTTAAGAAAAAAATTTTTAATGCGAATCAAATGTACTCGACTAAGACATTTCACAAATTTCAATTCGCGAAATATTGGCTCTAATCTCCACGTCAATAACGAGCGAAATATTATTGTTATAATGATTAATATAAGATGAGAGAGATAATATAAGATGAGATTAGATATATATTGAGAGTATAGATTGAGAGAGAGAGAGAGAGAGAGAGAGAGAAACATTCGGAGGTCATAATCTAAAAGATTATAATAATAAAATTATAATAATAAGATACTTCACACTCTATTTGATCTGTTTAAGCAATTTAAAGATTATTCCCTTAACGAACTTCTATCACTTTATATCTTACATCTGCTGTAACATTTAATTACTAATTTTATACATTACCTGCAAGTTTTATTGATTTCAAAATTTATAAAGCGTTAAGTATCTAAAAATTCAAAAGTTTTAAATAAAAGTATAAATTACAGTAAAAGTATAAATCAGGAATTCAAGATTCCAAGGACTCAAGCTTGCGAGGAATGTCTTAAGAATGTCAAATTCAAAAGATTCGAGTTCGTAAATATGTTAAGAATCGAATATCTTGACATGCAACAAATTCAGAATTCTCAGATGCAGATGTAATCAAAGATCTGGAATTAAAAAAAAAACGAAATAAATAGTGACACTACCGAGATACCAATAATGTACTTCATCAATCAGCTATTTTTTGCCAACGGGATATTGAAGAGAAATGTTACATAATACGGATGTTTCTTGCATACTGTGCATTTTATGAAACACTCAAGAAATATGTGGTAAAAAATATTGATGGTAAAGAGACAGAAAGGAAATAAAATAAGTGATTCGATCTAGAGTAACATACACTGTAAAAGAATTTTATTTATTTAATTCCACTATTTTCTGGATGCTTTCCTTTAAAATGCTTCCCTTCTGCTTTTTCCATCTTTGCTCGTCTCTGCCCGACTTTAATGGCACTGGAGCTGACCTGAAATCAAATTGAATATTTTTCTACGTCAGTAAATCTTTTGGTGTTTTTGCTGTCCGCCCTTTGCGACTACGTTCAATCTTCTTTGAATCCTTTCAGTGATCAGAGAGTAAGAGTTCAAGTCTCCAATAAAGCGAGTGTGTACCCACAGAAATATATTGATTAAATTCTATTAATTTTTCGAGTTTTGTACCAAAATGTACAGAAATAAAAGCAAAATAAAATTTAATCATCCAAATTCATTTATTATTATATTTTCAATTTGTTGAAATTAAATGAAAGGGAATCTAAAAAATATCTTATTATTGTCAGAAAGCACTTTATCAATGGAACTCTTTAACGAGCTAGCAAAATAAATCTTGTTTAACGGTTGTTTAAAGACAAATATTTTTAATTGTCATTAGATAACTTAATAATTAAAAATTCAAAAGTATTTAAGAATCTGAATGACCGTCATTGTCGCGGCGGCGATTAATAGACGATAAATACATGCACATTTCCTAAATAAGATTCAACAGGATTTGTATTAAAGGAAATACCATCGAATAAATCAAGCAGGGATTTTGATCTTGCAGGTAGGACAGGAACGAGGGAAAGAAATGAGAAGTAAGGGACGAGAAATAGTAGAGCAAAAAAAGAGAGTGCACGCGTTACAACTTGGCACCGAATCAGGGCGTTTTCTTGATTTTTTTACCAGTCTCGAGAATAAAAACGCGTCTTGATTAAGGCCGTCTTAATTAAGGGCATTTCTCTGCTTGGTTATCTTCATACGCGGCTATTTTATTCAGTAATATTCTATTCATTAGTTTATTATGAGCTTATTCAAGCAAGTATATATGCGGTGTATTGTTTCTATTTTATATTTAAGCAGTATATAGTCTGTCATAATTTTATAATATTTCAACTGTCGACACACGCGTCGGTTGTATATCTTTAGCTTGCTTCGAGTGTAGCATACGCTGGTCATAAAATGTTAGTGTCCTTTTTCTAAATATGAACAGTCGAGTTAGATAAACTATGAACAAGTTGCGTTAAAATATATGAATATACGAGAGAACCTGTGCGGGACATATATTCTTGTTTCACATATATGTATAAATAGAAATATTAACTTTTCTTTTTTTCCTCTTATTTCTTTTTATGTTTATATTACATTATTATGTCTGTAATAAAACGCGACATTCTTAAAGCGGCAATTTTCTCAAACGTACAATGTACAGCGACTGCTAAAAGTTTTTAATCAACATATAACATTTACAGTTATTTTTGTCAATCTATTTTTTTAATTTATACGTATGTTATACGTAAATAAAATAAATTCTTGTTATTAACTGAAACACACAAGTACTAAAATATATTACTAGTATACTAGAGCGTAAAGATTCTTTATCTGACCAATAAATGTAACAAATATAGTTGTATTTATCACTATGATTAATTACAAGTGATAGGATTAATTTAAAATTTATAGATAATTATAACTTAAAAACGTAAAAATATCTATATCGTAATTATCTTAAGTGGCAGTTCTAATTCGTACCAGTTTAACTATATGCAAGCCCTGATAAATATTTACGAGACTGCATAATTTTATTACCATTCGCCACGATAGCAAGTTTAGTTGCTCTTAATATAATCTGAGATGCCTAGCATACTTGAGAGTTTGTGAACCTGAAATGTTGCTTACTGCGTTGGAGGACGTGAAGGGAAGTTACATTTACGAATGGCATAGAACTAACTGAAAAATTACGGATACGGTGGCCCGTGCTGTGCTACATAAACGACAATGCTTGAAATGGTATCGATTATCCCGCAGCATGACACGAGGAAAATTGGGCGAATAACATTTTTCACGTTCAGGCGGATCATGACCGATAAAGCTCAGCAATTTCTTCGTGTAAGAAGCAAACGGCATCATGACCGACGCTGGTGGCGAGAGGTAGAGCAGGAAAAGAGAGTATCAAGCGGACAGAAAAACAGATACGACGAAGCTCGTTTCCTTTATCTACCCAGAGAACTCGGGACAATTTCTCGCGGCACCTCCTTCCGCTGTACCTCGTATATTTATACGAATCCTTAATACTCTCTCTCTGCAGTCAGTACGCCGCACATACTGAGATACACGTACAAGGCTCTTATTGTTAGATCCTTGAATTACCGGAACCTTACTCGGAACCTTACACAGTGGATTTCCAGAGAGCTGGGCGTCTGGGGATCACTGAATTTCTGAAGATTAACTTCTAGAGATGTTGTCAAAAGTGAATGGTTGTAAGATCAAAGATAAAGAAAAAATAGTTTTGAGAAAATTAATTCTGATGAAAGACCGTAGAAAAAGTAACGCGAGTTTGGTTTCAAGATTTTTTTACATGAAATAAAAGATTAAGTGAAAAATTATATATTGTATATTGCGTGAAAGTACTGTAATAAATAGTATAATGTAAAAACAAAAACACACACATTTATATTTTCTAGCTTTAAGGGAGTTTTGAATCTCAAATAAATGACAAATAATATACATAATTACTATCAAATAGCTATGAAGATAAATAATAATTGATATAATTAGAAGAGAGAGTATCCGATTGAAATACAATTTCAATCCAAACAATGCAACGTTAATTTTTAATTAAATTTATAATTAAATTTTTAATGTTGATGTAATATTGATTAATTTGCATGGTAATTAATATTAACATATAAAAAACATTATAATTGCTTTATATTATACTATAAATTAATCAATTGTATACATATACTAATTAAGTCGTTATTAGAGGATGGAGATCCTTTAATTAAATTTCAGGGGAGAGAATAGACTCGACCTATTTAATGATTTCTCTCTGTCGCTCTATTCCAGGATTCCACACTTATACGCTGAACGAAAGCGCGCACACGGAAAGGGAGGAGGACGAAATCTTGACAGTGAAATACGAGGATGGCAGATGGTCGAAACCGTATTACGACTGCGGGGGTGGCAATATCTGGATGCTGACCTACACCGTACCCTTCTTCGGATACATCAACGATACTTACTTCTTCAAGTGAGTACACATTCTTTTTGTCACATTAAGCGTACGATTATCTTACTTTCCCCATTGATAAATTGAAAATGTATACGTGATGGTCTTTCGTAACTCTCTTACATAGTAGGGAATACCTGGGCCGGTTGACACAAGTTGATATTGATTCCGTTTATATATAATTCCGTTTATATATTTATGGGATGGAAATAATGGGAAATTTATCGCAAAATATTTATTTTATAACATAAATTTTTTTATATCAAACAAATATTACAATTAAAAAAAGAGAAAAATTTGATTCAAGAGGAGATAAGTAAATTTTCGATTGTTCCAAAATTTCATATGTATTTTTCTGCTTGAGAAAGTAAATCTAAGAGGGACGTATTAATAAAAGGAAAGTTTCTTATTACATGATATATTATATTAAAATGACAGTCACTTCTTATAATAGAATAATTGAATTTAAATATATGTAGAACTGAAGTACATTGACCTATATTTGAGGCAAGTTTAGCTTGACTTGCGTGAATGTGTAAACATTCAATTATAGTTTAAGCCTAATAAAATGCGTCATATTTAAATCTTTCTGTATGAAGCAAGTTATATCTATAATAGCTTATATTTACTTTTTTCCAACAGTATTTTGCTATTCAATTAAAATAATTTTTCAAAATACAATTTTTATCAAAAAGTACATATCTACGATTTGTTTTTATTTCTATTACGTTTTCATTAATTTAATATAGAGTTTGTAGGGAATTTACATTGTAATATATATCAGCTTTTCTACTATATTTTCGGGATAAGCTGGTTACAATGCAGTATTTCATTTAAGGTAATTGGCTCTATCTATTTGGTAATTGTAGATAATTAAAAACAATAAATTCAACAAATCCGGTTCTACCAATATAAAATGAATTTTAATCTTGGTTCGATTTACTCTTAATCTTTTTTTAATTCTAAAAATGAAAAAAAAAACAATAAGTTAAATCGAGATTAAAGTTAATCTTACATCGGTGGAACTGGGCTTAAGTCGTGCAAACTGTTTGTCTGACTCGATTGCATTAGTTTATTGCTCAGTTTGTTTATCCTGTTACTGTCAGTAAAATAAAATGCAAAACGTCGTAGTCGTGATGTAACGTTTTTTTAGTAAGTAATTGCTTTCTATAATTACTAAAAGATGGTTATTAATTTCTGTTATTTTACTTCTTGTAGCTCTGTATTTACACTTTACAACACAGTATTTAGTTTATATTTTTGTCATAACGATTTATTTATATTTCACTAGAAAAAAACTCTTTGTGAAAGTAGAATCAAAATGGCTAACCTACAGATATATTGATAATGAATATAAATACGTTAATTATAACGTTTTTTATTGTACTTTTGTGTAGACCATAATTTTTAATTTCATTTGTTAAACATAAAAATCAATAAATAAGTAGATGAATAGAAGTTAGTCAATTATTTTGGAAAATAGTTCTTTGTGTCCTAAAATTCCTATAAGTTAATAAACATGGTTAATATACCAATAAATATATACTCATAATCTTATAAAAGTAACATTGTGGATATTTTATTTTTTTAACACTTCTCATGAAAAAAAGAAACACATATACTTAGGACATATTAAACGCATGTACATGATCTAAGTATATATGCGTATTTTTTCTTTTTACATTTCTTATGTTCTGTTTTTTTTCCATATTTCTATATTTCTGTATTTCTTTTCTTATGTCTTATATTTAAAAATTACAGACATTTTCAAATATTTACATGGGTGCATTGCAGTGAAGATTTTTCAGAAAATGTAGCATTTATTATGTATCCAATATGAGTCAAATGCTACTTTTTTTAATCTTCATTGTACTTACGTAAATATTTAAACATGTCTTACATTTTTTAATATTCAGAAAAATTTTGTTTTAAATTTAACCATCATTTTCAATTTTGAACCCAGCAAAAAAATTGCAAAACTTAGGTAGGATATATAAGTTTCGATTATCTTATTTAATCCTTCTACAAAGAAATTATATACTATACATTAGATAGAATTGTTTCTAGCAAAAAAATGAAAATGTAGAGAAAGGGTCTCTCTATCATAATAATTATAATAAGTTTAATCATAATAATTAGTTGTTTAAAAAACCGAAATTGTAAAAACTGTATCAACAAACGGTTTCGCCTATTACTTACATTTTGTTTACTGGCCTATCACTTTCATAAGGATTTCAAATTTTAATTACACATAAAATTTGAAATTGAATCTGTTTACGGAACGTAATGAAAAATTTTCATGCTTAATCTGTCGTGCAAAATACTCGAATATAAATATAGATGGGAATTTATATAATGTAATCAGATTGAATGAAATGAATAATTTCAAATCTTCATTATTGGAATATGGCAGAATACGGTCGATTCTATTATCGAAATATTACGGCAACTCATCAATCTTTAACTATGTTGAAAAATACGAATATAGATGAAAATTTAAGAGAACGCTGCGTAATGTAAGTGCCACTTACATTATGAACGTACACACATTACTATTCGCAGATTAAGGACAGCCTATGTCGTTCGAGAACTTGTACCGTCATTTTCCGTGAGCATATTTGAATCTAAGGGTTTTTGAATTGAAAAATCTCGGAATGTACAAGGATTCTAGAAACTTCTGGGAACTTGGAAGAATTTCAAAAATTCAAGTGTCAAAGTGTGGAGTTGAAGGACTTTAGAATGCGATATCGTACAATATTTTTGTTAAATCGTAACATTGTCTGAAAATGTAGCGCCGAACTCTTTCACCAGCAAATTTATGCTGATATAAAGGACTGGCAAGTCCTTTGGATTTATTTAATAATAAAATACTTTTCCCTCAGAGCGCTGGAATTACATTACATAGAAAGAAGTAATTAACTGTAACAACAGTAATTAACATTTTCCTTTATCAATTTGGTTACGTAAAAATTCAGTTTTTATAAAAATTTCTTTTCTCTTATAGGGATATTCGTTTCAAGTTGTAGAAGTATCACAATTCTTTCTATCGCTTTTCATCTGGAAACCAGTTTTATATATCCAATGTGTCAATTTGATCGTAATTACACCGTAAATTTGATCAGCAGATTGGTACCATTTGCGTAATAAAACTGTCGACAATATAAAAGGAGAAAAGTAATATGAAGGATCGTATAATAATCACGTTGAATTTTTTTAATGATGCTCTCAATTTAAGGATCGGATAATATTCAGTTACATTCCTCGATGTTCCACTTTCCGCAAAAATTATATAAAGATATCATTTCCTGAGCGCGCTTCATAATAGCGATGTCTTTTTCGTTAATGAATCTGAAAGGAATAAAGAAAAGAAAAATAGGATAAATGAAGAAAATCTAGCGATACTCGATAATTTAAACGTAATAAGTTCTCGAGGGGGATTGCACGATATATGTATGAGTTCTTCAAACTAACAATCTAGGTATACTAACTTGACAATTCCGATTATGGTTTCTTAAACAAACTTAAAGTCAACGTTTTCTCGAAAAGACAATTATTCCGTATTTAAAAGTTATTTATAAAAATAACAAAAATTTAATGTCTTGATAAAACGTTCTTTTTAGTCAATTTTGAGATAGAGTTTATTGCGAATAAACAATGCAAATTAATTTAACTGTCTCTATATATTTTTAATGTAAATTCTATGTATGTTGTCTATTTCACGACCACTGGTGACTAATTTTTAACCAATATATGAATAGTGACATGAAGTTTAGATGTACAGGAATAAATAAACAAGCGTAATGTATTTCCCATGAGAAAGAACATATTTATCGAAGAAAAGACAAAGCAAAAGAGTTTTTCATAATATATGAAAACTGATATAAGCAGAAAATAGAAATAGAGTTTTATCGATATTTGTTATAAACTGTTTATATACTATTCCTATTTTATTTGTTTATCAATGTAGAGCTTGTGGAATGAAATGACCAGAGTGCCATCAAATCAGTTTATTGTACGTTATATTTATTATTCCGCTGTATCGCGTTGCATTGTACTTATATAGCTGATAAAGAAGTAGAGAAGCTTACGTCTTTTCTCCTATGAAAGTGCACTTTCTAAGGAAAAGCGCCTTATGGATTTTCTATTTTTATCTTTTTTTCTCTCCTTGCCTAATATCACAAAATTCGTATTCTCTAATATCAGACAAAATTATGATAACATTATTATTATTAAATTTGTAGTCAATTAAATTTGTAGTCAAATAATTAAATTCTTTAAAAATTAATAGTACATGGAAAACATGTTGTGTAAAATCAGTAAAAGAAGGAAATTAAAATTTAACAAAATAATTGTGCATTGATATTAAAATAAAAATAAAAAAAGATAGCTACAATATAATGTAGTTAGAATAATAATATCGCTGCGCATAGCTTAGCGCCGAGACACTACCAGTGTCTCCAGATCTATGTATAAATAATATAATAATAAAAGAATCAACCGATATGTGAACAACATAAATAAGTAAAGAAAGCTTTATTTGGTCAAAATAGATCTTGGTGTCTAATAATATTTAAAATGGTATAATTTTTAATATTGTATACAAGTAATTGAAAAACTTGCTGCAACAATAAACTAACTTACACGTAAAAATTGAATAAATGAACTCTAAAGTTAAAGTGAGATAAATATCAATATTGTACTTCCGATAACACACTATTTCTATGTTAGCTCTACAACAATATTGATTTTTTTCTCATCATTCTCTAACTTTAGAGTTCCATTTACTCCGTTTTGACAAAATATAGATTAGACTATTGATGTAATAAATCCTTCGATTATAAATTATTAGAATCAAACTTCTTAAGAGTTGATATATATTGGCAACAAGCGTAAGTTTTAAAGTTAATATGAGCACAGGAATAGAATATTTAGAGATCATAGCTGTTGACTGGCGCATGGATATTCAATGGCTTGCAAGAAGAGTTATGCAATTTTGAGACGGCGAAATATACATATAGAGG